TGTTTCGTCAGTTTATTCTACCGATGATAATAGTACTTTATCGATTACTATTGTAGATAATAAATATAATCCTCATAATTTATGGTGAGCAATATTTAAAATATTATCAATATTATATATATGCATATATATATATAAATATATATATAACGTATATTATATAACGTACATGATCTAATATATGAATAATAATAATAACAGGAATGGTCGATGGCGTTCAACTTGGGTAATTTCACCTGAATCAAATGAATTAAAAGGAACTATTAAAGTGAATGTTCATTATTTTGAAGATGGTAATGTCCAATTGAATGCTTCCAAGGAAGTTGAAATTACAGCTTCACCGAATTCTGAGGTATTTTATTTTATATTTATTTATTACATTTTATTATATTCTTTATTTACATTTTTATTATAATTTTTTTTATATTTCATTTTTTATTTTTTAAGGAACCAGCTGATAAAGCTAAAGCTTACACTAAATCAATTACCAACGCTGAAAATGAATTTCAAAGTTCATTAAACGAATCTTATATTGATTTATCAGAAAATACTTTCAAAGGACTGAGACGTGCACTTCCTTTGACGCGTCACAAACTCGATTGGGATAAGGTTAGTTAAAAAAAATGTGGTTTAAAAAATTATTATTATTATTATTATTGAAATTTTAAAACCTTTTTTTTTCACTTCATATTTTAGATTTTGAATTACAAAATTGGTCAAGAACTTGCAAACAAAGCAACATAATATAAAGAAATATAGCAAAGAAATCAAATTTATTTAAGATTTAAATTATTATTGTACATTTAAATTATTATATACAATAAATTTTACAATAAATTATACAATAAATTTTTTACATAGTGGATAATGTGGAATAATTTGGACAAATTGAAGGGAATTCTAGATGTCATTATTTTGTTTAATAATAATAATAATAATAATAAAAATTATCCAAAAATCATATGTTATATTATAATATTATATTTATTATTTCAAATGAATTATTCCAAATAAATTATTCCAAATGAATTATTCCAAATGAATTGCACCAACAAAATTTTTCTGAAAATTTTCTGAAATTTTAGTTTGTTTTGTACGTTCCTTGGTGAACGCTTGCTTAAGAGATTTCTTTTCCATTCGGCGATTCTATATTTATATATATAATATAATATAATAAATATTAAGTATTAAGTATATATTAAATATTATTAATATGAAAATACATTTTTTTTTACCTTTCTTTCCTTCTTAATATCTTCTTTACGTTTTTTCTTTTCTTCTTTTGATTCATTTTTTGATCTTGCAGCTCCGAGATTGACTAAATAATAATAATAATAATAATAATATAATTTTTATAACGTGTTTGGAATATGTTTAATGTATTTTGGAAAATGTACAAGATTTTAAGTCTTACGTTTAACTTGTTTGTTTTCTTTTTCATTTTCATCATCATCATCATCATCTATTGTTATATCATCATCATCACTATTCTTATCACCATCATCACTATTCTTATAATCATCATCATCATCATCATTATTATTAATAGGTAATCCCGTTTTTGAATTAATTTCAATTTTCTTAATAGGTTTTTTCTTATCACATATTAATTTCGGATGATTTTCCAAATTTGAATATGTACTCAAAATGGATTCACAATCCCAAGGTTGTCGACTTTTAATACTTTGTTCACTTTCAATTTCTATCAATTTATCTCTTTTGTTTTTTTTAAGTAATTGTGTTGAATGTTTTGTCAATTTATCATTACTATCATTATCATTATTATCATTATTATTATCATCATTATTATTCTTCTTGTTATTCTCATTATTATTATTATCATTATCATATTTATCAATAAATTCGTCAAGAATTTGCGTGAAATCTTGTCGAATTTGTGGTGGATTATCATCATCATCATCATCATCTGACATATATTCTTTTTCAACCTATAATATATAATCACATATAATTAATGTATTAAATGTATTTAAATATTATATTTTTTTTTAATAATATTTTACCTTTTCAAATTGATCATCTAACAATCTTAACTTTTCATTTCTAAACATTATAGAACTAGTTAAAGAATATCCTGTTGTTCTTGACCTTTTATCATTTTCATCGTCATCATCTTTCTCTTTATTCTCTTTACTTGATTTATTTTTATTTTTTAGATATTTACGGAATCCTATTTCCCAATTCTCATCATTATCATCATCACCATAATCATCATCATCATCATCATCATCATTTGATAATTCATCAACATTAAGTTTCTCAAAATAATCATCTATATCATCTTCTACATATTCATCATCTTCTAAAGCTTCAAGTGTTTCTCGAAGTCTTGGGTCCATATCAGGCTGAAATCCTTTAATATAAATATATTAAATATAAATAAATTAAATTAAATATAAATATATTAAATATAAATATATATTAAATTTATAAAATATAATAAAATACATAAAAATATAAATGCATGAAAATATAATAAATAATAGTTATTATAATTACCCTCTGGAAAACTAGAGAAATCAAGTTGATCGAATGGTATTTCATCTTTTGATGGTAAAACTTCTTCTGGTAAAACTATTTTCACTTTTCGATCTTTTTTATTTTTTATTAAATTTATTTTTGATGATCCCTATAAATAAATAAGTATTATTATTATTATTATTATTGATATTATTGGTTATTAATTATTGATATTATTATTACTATAATTGTATTTTTAATCAGTAGGAACAATTGGTATTTTTATATAATATAATCATTTAATAATCTTTTTTGATTAATATAATTCTCCCTGTTTATCA